TCTGTGCTCTGGGCAGGCAGAGGCACTTTGGAGAGAAAATTTAGTTTATAAGGAAGAAAAGCTTGTGTACTCACAGGGAGCTTCATCCTGACTGCAGAGCTGATGCTCCTGCAGGTAGAGAGAGCGATGTGAACCTCCCACCTTATATATGTTTTCAGAATTAGGTGTGGAAGGGCTGAATGTGGCAATAAAATTATTTTGTCATTTGTTTCCCTGTTGCATGTCACTGAAAATTATTTCCTGCTGTAACTGCTTGATAAATACAGGGATTGTACTTCTGCAAAATTTGACCTGCTGGAGTCTGACAATTATCAGATAAGAATCCATTTGTAGTCCAAAAATGAATATGTTTGATAGTATTTTTCTGACATATACTTATTCTTTCTAAAAATTCACCTGGAATTTAAGACCAGAGATAGCCTAGAATTTAAATAGAAAAAAAAAATTGAAATCTTCCTTTAGGCAAAATAAATAAGAGCCTTTGTAGTTTCCAAAAGGCACTGTATGTTCCTTGTAACCATAGCACCCACCTAAATATGCTCCCCAAATACAACACAGCCACTGAAAAGTGTTTTACAGGAAATAGGCATTTCAGGCTGGAATATTACATATATATGTTCAAGTCTGTGCAGGTCTCTTTGTTATTTTAGGTGGCAACAGTATTTATTTTCAGCTTGCCTCAGCTTATTTCCTGTGGTGATGTAAATATCGAGGGGGTGGTCACTCAGGGAGGGAGATTTTGGGATATTTGATAAGTTGCTCATATTTGTTCTGTGGGCAGCCCCAGTCTGTGACAGGGAATCATTGTAAAGATTCCAAAATGACTTTTCAACTGCAATCCAGCCACTTATTCAAAAAAAAAAAAAAAAAGGCTGGTTTTAATACATATACAGACAAACAACTTGTACCCATTGCTGCATGTGCAGTATTAATTCTGGCCTTGGTTGTACTGAGTAAAGTCTGCAAGTCCAAAGGGACATTTCTGGTCGGTGCCACTACACCAAAGGGGGGTTTCATTCCTGGTTCTTTGTGAGCAGCAGTGTTTGTGTGGATTTCTCTGACAAAATGTGGGTTTCTCTGTGTGCTCTGGGGTGGATTGTGCTCTCCCTCACCCACTGCTGACCCCACTGGAGAGAGGAACCGGGCAGGACCTGTGGGAGCAGCATGTGGTGTATGCCCAAAGGTACCTAAAAATGCAGAATTGTGTCAGCAACCAGAGCCCAAACCTTCCCAAAAAAGCACTGACCAATGTCTGAAACCAACCTTCACCTGGAAGTGAGCAAGCAATTTGTAATCTGGCTAACCTGCCTTTGTTTTAGAGCACAAAGGCTGTCAGGAGCAGACTCACCAGGAGCTGGGTGAGCCAGGTAAGAGGGAATTCCTCTGCACAGACCTTGGATGTGTTTTCCATGTGGGCTCAAGCTCTGGAGTCTGTGCCTCGAGATAATGAAGTGATTCCCCCTGGGTGGGATTTGATAAGACCCAGGTTCCCTGAGCATCAAAGAAACAAACCCAGAAAGCAGCATTTAGGAAAACCAAGAAGGGAGCTCAGAGTGTCCACACACCCCCCTTTGGTAGCGGGGAAGGAGTTATTCATGGGCAGGGCAACTTCTGAAAGACCTCTGAGAGCGACTCAGCCCTGCTGAGAGAATTCTCTTCAGTTCTCAGAGCCCTTTCTCAATCAATGGCTTCTGCATCACTTTCCTCCCCCATCCTACCCTGTCTCCTTGAGGTGGTGCGGGGAACCATCTGTCAAGCCAAGCCCTCTAACACACTGTAACAATGATGCAGGTGCTCTAAAATCCACCTTGGCTGCAGCGTAGACCTAGGAAAAAAAAAAAAAAAGGCAAACCAGTTTTTGGTTGCAAACAATATCCAACGAATGAAAGAGAAGTGGATTGCCAAGGAGAAGCACTGGTTAAGAAAACAGGCTTTATACAGAGCAAATAATCATGGACAAGGAAATACTGGCCCTTTCAGTTTTGTTGTTTAGGTAAACATGTCATTGGGGCTCACGAGGCATTTTGGTGAAAGGTAAATTGCCTCCTCCAGTAATGCCACGTGTGTGATGTGTTCTCCTGCTTAAGTACGACCCCAGTTTCAGGGTGGTTTGAGGTTTCATTGTGGTGCCCCTTGAAGTTTTTTTCAAGGTTCTGATTTTTGGAAAAGATCAAAGGAGGTGAGGATGTGGCTTTGGGGATTCCCAGGAGTGTTTCACTCAATAAAGCAATAGCTCTAGTAGCCACGTTTTGGGAAACTGTTGCTCTTGGAGACCAGATTAAAGGGGAGAGAATTCCTGGCCTCGGAGGGAGGCTGGGAAGCTGTTAGTGCTGCTGTGCCAGACCTTACAATCCTTCATCCCCACCTGGTTTTCGTGACCGTGCCAAGAGCTCTTGCATGGCAGAGGTGGCAGTGACACTGATTGTACCAGGGGCATCAGTAGCCTGACCAAGGCAGGGAACAAGGGGTAATCACTTATCCCCTGACAGCCTTGGGACATTATTTGCTTGAATCGTAGCCCGAGTGGAACGGCACCATTGTAACCAGCTTGGGCTGTGGCCAGGGTGGAAATCTACTGGTGACTAAATCACAGTCATGGCAATCACGTCTCAGCCCTATAAACTGCAGTCCTGAGGCAGGCCTTGGAGCTGTCCTGGACTGCAGTGGGCTCCACAAGCATCTCCCTCAGAGTGGGAGCCTCCTGGAGCTTGCACACCCTCGAGTTTGCAATGCTCAGAGGACTCAGAGGGCTGACATCCCCCACTCCTCGAGGCTCAGCCCTCACCTGTGGAGAAATGCAAAGGCATTTGACCTGTTCCACTGAAGCCCAGGGGAATTTTTAACAGGTGCTTTTGCACACACAGGTATTGATGTAGACAGCTCTGTGTGGGCATGTGCAGTGCACACATCATCAGGGTATGAATGTTGCTATCTGGAATCTGTAATTCAGTCATTGTTGTAATTGTAATAAACCCTATCAAGTCACCTTGTAAATGATGAATTAGTCAACGATTAAATACTCTTAAACCCTTTGCACCCTCGCCCTCTGCACCCCTGGATTCTGTGTATGCCGTTCTACAGAGGTTCTGATTTGATTTTCCTTTGCATGATTCACCTGTGCAGGGAGCAACAGATAGAACCTAGACAATGAACTCTGTTAACTTGCAGTTCCACAAATTCATATTAAAACCTGCTTTTGCCAGCACCTTCTATGGTGATTCTTTAAGCAACCAAAACCCCTCATTTGCAACCCTTGTCAGCAAGAGCTGCAGCCAGGAAAACTCCAAGGAGAGAAGCAATCACAATCTTAAATGAACAACTGAAATTCACAGCATTTTAATATTGTGCTGCTTATCTTGCATCAAGTTACTTGCTGTCCTAAAATAGCTTTGACTTCCTGTTTAGCGTTGTGTGAAGGATCAGCACTTTCTGCAGAGGGGTCTGGCTGAAGAGCATTTAAATATGCAGGAGATTGTTATAATGATAAATTCTTTCGTGATAACTATTGTGAACAGTTATTCTCTTGAAGAAAAACCCCTGAATATTGAATTACTCCCAAATTTCATTTCCTTCACAGGAGGATTTTGATGAAAGAGATCTGAGTGTACGTGGGGTCTCTCACGTCTCATGGCTCTTCTCCTGCACTCTCAGCACAGCTGTGCCCTCACTTTCTGGACCTTGCTGAGACTGTTGACTTGCCTCTGAGTTGTGAAGGAGAGAATATTGTCCTTTGGACATTCCACGTGTGTGTGTCACCCCTGAGACAGAGCACTTCTCTCTTTCATTTTTAAGTAGGCAGATGGAGTGACATCCCTGCCAGAAG